GGCGCTGCCATCTCTGGGTACACATGAGAAAACCTCTTTTCCTGGGCTTCAAACTGGGCGTCGAACCCTGGATTCCTGAGGGGAGCATAAAACCCCTGCTCCCTAACCCCTTTGAAGCACCTCATCTGGCGCTCTCCTCCTGTAAGTCCCCAGGCCCGTGCCCACGAGGGGACCCTTGCACCTGCCGTTTCTCTCACCTGGACCAGACAGCGATGGGTCTCCATCAGGGTAGAACTGGCCCCTGTGGGTTTCAGAGCTTGTAACTGTTGACGGGAGTAGACGCCTGTCTTTCTCCTGCAGAGAAAACTAGCAAGTGCAAAGACCCTGAGATGGGAATAAGGCATGAAGTGAGAGAGGAGAGGGAACCCGAGGGGAATCGTGGTGCACAGGGACTGTGTGTCAGAGATGAGGCGGAGCTCCAGCAAGCTACTCCACTCAGGGTCCAGGAGGTCACCGCCGTGTTGACATATTCCAGTCAGACGCACTTCCCCGAACCCGCACCTTGTCTCAGAGCAAGCCAGGGAGCGCTCTGGCCTCTGTCCACTCTTCTGTACAAAGGGAACGACACCTGAGACTTCCTCTCAGAAGGCAAAACAAACGAAAACCATATTCACTTTCTGACTCGTGGCCTCCCTGTAAGGGCCAAGTAGAATGGTCCCTGTGGGCTTCTGAAGCTGCAATTCTTTTCGGGAGAAGGAAGCCTCATCTATCTTCTGCAGGCCAGCCAGTGGTTTCGAACTGCCGCCCTGGAGGTTAGCAGTCCAACGCATAACCGCTACACCACCAGGCTCTCCTCTGAGGCACCGAGAAGGTAAGCGTCGGCCCGCTCAGGATAGCGCCCGCACGCAGGCGGTGCTCAAGGCACGGGCACTGTGGTTGCCTATTGGGGACCACGGTCCTTGACATCTGGGGCCTCCAGGTCTCCAGTGACGACAGGCATGTCACCGGGGACATAAGGCAGCGGCAACCCGGACTGGGCGGCTGTCGGCACGGATGTTGAGAGCACCTCCCTCGGCAACTGTGTCTCCATGTCTGACTCTCTTCAACCCAGAGGGGTTGCTTGAGACCCTTCCCACCTCATTCTATGGTCGGGGGTAGGGGGGTGGCATTCATGAATGATGTCAGTGAGAATCTCTGGCCTTGCACCGCTTCAATGCCTGTCCAGGAGACAAGGAACGAGTGAGCTGAGTAAAGCTATGGAGACAAATAGAATAGGGTGAGGGGAGGGAGTGGTCCTGCCAGTTCTCACAGGGAGGCAGGCTGCAGCTGGGCTGATGCCCCTCCCCACAGCCCCCACACTCCTGAGACAGAGAACCTAAGACTCAGGCTAGAGGGCCTCAGAGGCTCCCCCTGGACAGCCTGGTCCACAGTGCCACCTGGTGGCGGGTGCCGCCATGTACGCCCTTGGTGGCCTCGGGGTTCCCTGGGTGAGAATTTGGGGGTAAGGGGAA